ACTTCTTCCATGGGAAGTGATTCAGAAACAACGCCTATGCTGACGTAACCCTAAAACCTTTTTCTCTTGAAATTAGCATATTGACTTACAGTATATGCGAAGTTGTGTTTTACCGGCAAAGATTAGCAAATCTTAAGATTCTCAGTTCAATTCATAACCATTCTCTGAGCTGAGACATGTATTTGATGTCTTCGAAAAGCGTGCATTAATTTTGAGCAGTCAAACAAACTTTTGCCTTGGAAGGGATTTCGCGCTTTTATCTCTTAGATTGCTACTTCTTGAATGCTATACATCAATGACTTTGAGTTCTGATTTGTATTAATGCGAGATTGATAACTAGCCCTTCTAGCGATCCTAGTCTAAGCACGTACATCATTCTCGCGGGATGTTATATATTTTTCTGTATTGGGTATCAAGTATAAACATTAAGAACAACTCAAAACACAATACCAAACCATACAATATGGGCACCGTCATTAGAAATGTTGTTTTTAATTTTTTTTAAATCCAAATTTCTTGCATCCGCTTTGGATGCTTCATATTCACGACAGTGTCAATTCCCACGCAATCAAGATCAGCTGTGTTGACGTCTTTACATTAATATGAGCACGTGGTGCATGGATTCAGTGTTGTTCGCCTTGTCTCTGACTACGATACGGGTTTTGTTCTTCTTCGAAGCTATGTTTACGAATTTGCATACATTATGGGCTGTGATTGAATACACTTTCAGTGAATTATATTATATTAAATAAATAAATAATTAATTGTATAATTATTATGAATATTTCTTTTGCGAACATCTAAAATTAGTGTTTTTTTTTTTTGCCAGAACTTACTGAGCACATAGTGTAGTAGCACGAGACTGGCCGATGAGTGCCTCCTCAGCTTCGTTTAGCAAGTGCATTTCTGATTTGTGTTGTTGGATATGCTGTCAAGTAAACTCTTTTCTACTGCCTTTTTTGTCATCTTGCGATTTTTGAAATCTAGTCGCTCTGAATTAATATTTGCTTGCTCAGCCTCTGACCAACAGCTGATAATTCAATAAAACAATGCAAGTTTTTACGCATATTGAATACTGGGCTTAAGGGTGTAAATAATTTTCCGTGATGCTACAATTGCGACGAAATTTGGAAGCTGCCCTAAGTTGTGTAATAATGGTCGTCCTTTGTATGAAGTGTCTAAGTATAACTAGTTAGTGTTTTCATCTGCGGCCTTTTGACGGTGACGTCCAACGAAGATATACGTAAATATTTAGTACTTTGTTGTACGCCCTTTCTCACTCAAGTGTCAGTTACAGTGCTTTTAGTCTCGTGATGTTTGATCTCAACAAGCTATTTGTTTTTACCATCAGCATTGACATAATGTTCAGTTCAGCTGGCCGTTCTTGTGCTGATCGATTTTTATCTATTCTATGCGCTTGAGACGCACGTTACCTCATGTTCTACATTTTTTGCTCTGATGCTAGGCAACAACTTTTGGATTTTCAGACGAGTATGAAGTTTCGCAATTTATCAGTTTCAGTTTTCTGAAATGTCGTTTGAAGTAGTGCTTTACCTCTTCCTTAGTCGACCCAATG